CACTCAGCATTGGGTAGACACGGGTTGAAGAAGAGAAACGAAAACGGTAAAAAATTGTTCTTCAATTTCAGATATTTGTAATGTATTTCAAAGTTATGAGAACGCCCGATACGATCAACGATGAAACGTTAATGAGTTATCACAAAGCTCTTACATTTTTCGAGGGACAGTTAAGGAATCGTGGCACAAGATTTCTCGGCGGCGAAAAGCCTGGATTCGCAGACTACATGATCTGGCCGTGGTTCGAGAGAATTCAATCGATGAACGATGAAAAACTCAAAATTAAATCCGCAAAATTCGACTTACTGGTACATACCTTACCTTACCTTTTGTATGAATGATATAAACTAACCTAACCTAACTATATAAACATAGGTCAAGCACGTAAATCGAAGATCTACACCAAATTCGTTAAAATTTTAAAGGCACTTTGATTGTATTATTGGATGTTTATTTACTTTTCTGAAATCTAATTTATAAATTCTAGGTTGCCTACATAGAAAACATGTATAAGGATCCCGCTGTCAGTCAATACTTATTACCTAAAGATGTCATGGATAAATTCCACGCCGAATATAAGACAGGGAAGTTCGAAGTGCAATCGATCGAAGATCTGTTGTAAATAAAAGTCTTTTAATATAATAAAAAAAAACATTGTATTTCTTACACTGACAACATAATCCTGTGGCACCGATATACGATTACGATTTTTAAGTACATTGCTATTATGGTTCGAAATTAAAATATAACAGTAATTATCAGAGATAGTTATAATGACAACATTTATTAGTCATTTAACCCACAATGATATAATAAATAAATAATAAATAAATATTTACTAACAATCACGCCACGTTAACTGGTCCCATGATAAGTTCGTAAAGAACTTGTGTTACAGGTACCAGATAACGGAAATAAATGTAAGATTTTTATTATACACATACATATATTTAATATACATCCATAACCCTGGAAAAGACATTTATATTTATCATACAAATATCTTCCCTTGGCGGGATTCGAACCCGCGACCCCCTTGTGTATAATAATAATAATAAATAGTATAGATAATATAGGCGGCTAGATAGGTACCAACAACACAACAATTTATGAATAATGCTAATTAGATAAAAATAAAAATTTGATTAGGTACTGTTATTGACGTGAAGCTAAACACCAATCTTAAAGCACGATGCCACAAGTGGGTAATCGTTATAATGTTACAGCTTTAGTTCATAGTGTATTTTGACCCCAAGTGACGTCATACACAACTAACTACTTGCGTTTGGCCGAATAACGTAACTTATAAAAATTGCTTTTAATATAGATTTTCAATTCTGACAGTTAAACCAAAAACAATAAAAGTAAACGATTATATTGGAGATTAATAAAAAATAAGATCACAATTAGTATCTTTTTGATATTGGTTCTTTTTTTTGATTACAGTAGACATAAAACCTATCGCATGGCCAGTTATAAAAAAAAGAAGACTATCGGCGACCGCACCGCGCGCATTGTACAACTCGCCGCGTGTTTTTCATCTCAATATATGTTTTTTTGGGTTTTGTTATTCTACTTTTAAGAACTCCTACGGACATTCATCGTTGTTGTGCGAGTGTTATACTCGTTTTGTGAACACAAATAATTTTAAGGAGTGCGGTCAAGCGGTCCGGCCGATCGCCGCCATTACCCGTCGTCTACCAGTCGCGTTCCTTGGATTCTACTGCCTACAAGAAGCCAGCGACGGAATGGCTGGTACGTCTACTAATCGGCCTGCCTCTCTTTTGGTGCACCTCTTGGCGATACTCCCCCCACAGGAACCATCAAAAATACAGAACCAGCGCACCGCCGCGGCGTGGTGAAAATTCCAAAAAATATAGTTTTTTTTTCTCACTATATATATTATTGATGGATCGAGTATTTACTTAATCATTAGAATATCACAATAATAAAATTTTATAAATGAATTTTAATATATATGTAAATTATTTATATTAAATTTGAACTACAACGCAAAATTATTAATAAATACACAACACAATTATAGGAAGCACAAATTAATCTAACACCTAATAAAATGTAATAACTTTTAATAGTCGTAACGCCATCAAAGTTCTGACTACAGATGTGTAGCTTTTTTCTTAAATCACGAAGTTTATCGCAGATTAGATGTAACCGACTTTAATGTAACCGATTTATTGCCATGATTAAAAAATTAGCTCGTTGGATGCGTACTTAAGATCGCGAACCGAAAAAGATTAAAAAATATATATACATCTACATCAAATATTGCTAGTTGTGGATCGCTAATTCTGTTGTGTGAATCTGAAGATTGTTCTATATGAAGTATGGTAATATACAATGCTGCGATCTCAGATAAGATATATTTACTGAAATTGAGTATTAAATTAACAATGCATTTGCCAACTCTATTATTTATGGTAAATACGTAATTCTAATTTGTGTTATGATTTGGTATTTAAGAGTAGGTACGTGATCTCAAATCATCGATTTTGTTCATTTTAAGTCTGTTTTTTCGCAAATAACGCAATATGTATGAAGAGAAAATATTTTAATGAAACCGAATATGTTTAAAATTAGTTTGATTATTGATACACGCGTGAAACTGCGACTTGCCTACCTAGTATATAATTAATATTTGCAACTTTGATCAATACTGCTCTATGAATTATGCAAGATTTTTCTTACTATACATACATAATTGAGAGTATAATATAACAAACTATTTATTGTGCATAATTTTTGAACGATGTCACTTAATGTAAAAAGTGAACTATTATATTGTATTTATATTGCATTTATATAATATTTCTATTTGTAATTTTTTTTAATTAACACTTAACCGTTAGTGAAATTTTATTTATAAACACAGTTTTATTTATCACAATAAAAACTGAGGCCTTTTATCTTCTTCTCTTTCTCTGAAGGTTCTATATACATATCGACGGGTAAAAGCCTATTTGAGTTAAGCGACATTTTTGCAACCTTACAGAAGAGCCATTTCAAGTTTAAAATTTGGCAAAAATATTATAACAAAAAAATCTTCAGCTATTTGAATGGAGTAAACTTAATTGAAATTCAATTAAAAACATCGAACTGTTGATGCTGATACCAAATAAAACGCACCTATAATTACAATGATAAATGTCCCTTAAACCCAATAGCCTTTCACCTCTCGATACATAGAATATNAACCTTACAGAAGAGCCATTTCAAGTTTAAAATTTGGCAAAAATATTATAACAAAAAAATCTTCAGCTATTTGAATGGAGTAAACTTAATTGAAATTCAATTAAAAACATCGAACTGTTGATGCTGATACCAAATAAAACGCACCTATAATTACAATGATAAATGTCCCTTAAACCCAATAGCCTTTCACCTCTCGATACATAGAATATCTTATCTTATATATTTAAACGAGCAATTCTTGAATATATATTTTATATAATCTGAATCTCGGAAACAGCTCCAACGAAGTTCATAAAATTTAGTTAATTTAGTTTAGGGGGCAGGGACCTAGCTACGATTTATTTTCAGTAAATGTTGTTTTATTCGTGTTTACAATAATCAACTTTATCGATAATTTTGATTTTTTCTTTAAATAACCAGTTCATATTTAAAAAATATTATTCATATTTCATCATTTTATCAATATGTAATTCGTATTTAAATATAAATTCGAAAAAACACAATTTATAAAAAAAAAAACAAGCATAGCCGGTTTTTATCTAGTACAATATAATATGCTTATTTTAACACAACACATTGGTCAATTAATAATTAAATAATATTTTGATGATAAGTTCAGTATTATTAGGATTCAGTGACGAAGATTAATATGCAGTTAATGCAATACATAACATGCAAATTATTATTATTATATTTAAAAATACAAATAACATAATAAGAAATAACAGAGATTCATTTAGTAAATGTTCGTAGAGAATTTTTATTGCACTATTTACTTTTGTACTGTACACACACGCTCAGCTGAAGCATGTATAGTGAGCTTTAAATAATAAATCTACCTTATTAGGAATGCATTATTTAGTAACTACTTAATAATAAATTACAATTTACATATTTTTTTTAAGGATGTCTGTTCCTTGTAAATTTAAATGCTAAAACATTCCGTACGGAATATTGAAGAAAATTCAACCGCGTAAAACGTAGTTGTTAAACGATCACTATATAGATAAATCAATACGGCGGTCGGGGTACCGAGGTAAACTACCCCAAATGGGGTAAAATTAAATTTTGGGGGGTAAAAATGAAACTTTTGTGAGTAAAAATTATATATTGAAGTGAAACTTCTTTAGAATCGTTAAATTTTTTATTTATTGTTTTCTTTTCAAAATTATCATGGGGGCTATATATAATATGAAAGATACTAAAAAGAAGCGATTTCGTTTTTTTTTTGTTCTTCGACATGGAGTAATATCAACTTACACAAAAATATTTTGAAGTAATAATTAAGAGTTCCCCGACCGCAGAATTAATAGATTTTAATCATGTAAGTTGATTATTCACAAATATATATTTTTTGTGGTGTACATACATATATGGACGAACGAGCGCGTTCAATGTTTATCAACAAATCCACATACCATTTTGATATTTAATACGTTGACTTCCGTGTAGGTCACCGGTGCCCTACGCGGCGCACTGAAGTAACTATGTCGATTTCTCTCTTTGTTTTTCTTACTAAGGCCCCGGAATATCTAGTAGACTCTGGGAAGGACGAACCCGAAGATACTGACAATGAATCTACTTCTAAGAGACCTAATAGACTAAAAACTTTTTTTTATTGCTTGGAGCCCATAGACATCTACAACGTAAATGCGCCACCTATCATGAGATATAAGTTCTAAGGTCTCAGTATAGTTAGAACGGCTGCCCTACCCTTCAAACCCAAACGCATTACTGCTTCACGGCAGAAATAGGCAGGGCGGTGGTACCTACCCGTGCGGATAAAATATACATTATCAAACAAAAGAAGGCAATCCAGGCACGCTTAGTAACACAAATCGACGTAATTACATCAGTGCGCCGCGTAGGGCACCGGTGACCTACATGGCAGTGAATGTGTTAAGCTCCCGTTCACGTGACGTCAGCTACGGTTTCTTTTTAAATATATTCTGTAAATTGATGTTGGTCTTGGATTGGTGGAACATCTGCGTGACCCTCCTGCCGACCTCCTGCGCGCCGAGCAGGTTGGCGGGGCGCGGGGGGTCGCGCGCGGGCTCGGCGGGCGCGCCGGCCGCCGTCTGCACCAGGCTCTCTACGGCCGCCCGGTGCTGCGACAGCGCCGGCGACTGCACCTCCTCCTCCAATTTTCTGTAACATTCAAATATATTTTTTTAATACGCTTTTATTAGCTTTTTTTTAAGTTTTTCATAGATTTTATCGGGGGCTTTGGGCGCGGCTTGAGAGCGGAATCCAGAAATTTCGTAACGAAAATAACCTGACACCCCCAGTACGCAATAACTAAAACAATAACTAAACAAATAACTAAAACCGCGCAAGGTTCAAAGTAGGCATGGTCGTTGCGCAACATAAATGGTTATTGAAACTATCTATAGAAAAATTGCGGTTAGCTAGTTTCGCCGTACTGCAATAACCTGCTAACATCTACTACCTCAATCACGTCACCGATCACGAACACAAATCGCACAACGTTCGGCAATATCCGTTTAACTTCGTACCGCTCGGTCGGCAGCTGTCGCGACACGCAGTGCAAACATGCAACGGTGTTCGAATCCCGCAGGCGGGTACCAATTTCACTAATGAAATACGTACTTACTTGACAAATGTTCACGATTGACTTCCACGGTGAAGGAATAACATCGTGTAATAAAAATCAAACTAGCAAAATTATAATTTGCGTAATTACTGATGGTAGGACCTTTTATGAGTCCGCACGGATAGGTTCCACCACGGGAGACCTTAGAACTTATATCTCAAGGTTGGTGGCGCATTTACGTTGCAGATGTCTATGGGCTCCAGTAACCACTTAACACCAGGTGGGCTGTGAGCTCGTCCACAGACCTAAGTAATAAAAAAAAATGTAAATTTGCGTCCAATTAATGTAAATATAATTCAACTCGGTTAGACAAGGGTTAGTGGCAGCCTTTAATAAATGCTGTTTGTATGTGGGGTACCTTAATGCGGGCAGTATGGCCGGGTGGCGCCCGCAGTGGTGCACCGCCAGCTGCAGGCCCGGCGTCAGGGCTGCCACGCGCTCGGCGCACGCGGGGCCGCGCTCGCACAGGGCGCACAGTAGCGACACCGCTGGAAGTTTTGAAAAAAGAAAAAGCTGCCTAAAAAGGATTTTACTATAATCTATATATATTATGTCGAAGACGCCGCGGGGGCACCACGTGGCACTCACATATTTCTCTTCCCCTCAAAGGGAAGAAATATAAGACCTTAATAAGGCCTGCCGTCTTGTATGGATCAGCTTGTTGGACCACTAAAATAGCGGATGAAAGGCGATTGCATGCAGCAGAGATGCGCATGTTGCCGTGGATGTGTGGAGTAACGAGAATTGATAGAATACGGAATGAATATGTAAGAGGAAGTCTGAAAGTGGCACCTGTGACAGAGAAGTCGAGATGTGCGCGTTTGGAATGGTATGGACATGTGATGAGACGAAACGATAATGAGGTTGGTAAAAGAGTGTTAACTGTGAATGTAGAAGAATATAGAGGAAGAGGTAGACCTAAGAAGAAATGGATGGATTGCGTGAAAGACGATATGTGTAACAGGGGTGAACGGTCGGTTAGTTCTTTTGTCGTCTATTTTTTTAACATATGAGAACGGTCAATTCGTTCCTTGTCGTCTGATTCGTGTCTGTCTTTTAGGAAGTCATAAAAAGCCTGCTGCTAATCACGTCCGCCCTCGTTTCATTTCTCTGTTTGTTTCTTTTCAAATTCTTGTCAAGTCTTTAACTTAGTCTATGTCTAGTCGTTGTAGGTCTTATGTCCTGTCAAATAGGTTGCACGCTAGGACAAGGGGAGTGCCAAATATACTATTTCGTGGTCTGGTATGTGTACAGGAATTTAAATACTGAATAAAATTTTTGGGGGATCGTGTGAAAGTAATGTAACATTGGGCTTGATGATTGGCGTATTCAATGACATAGCTACGCGCACGGGCGGCCTATTCTCCTTATCTAGATGTCAAGGGATCTGAACGCCAATAACCGTGGCTATCACACCGGTGGTGTTGGAGCGTGTTGCAAACATCGATTTCGACTAACAGAACAGCCGTCCTACAAAAGTATCAATCTCAATTTGGTGTGCTACATTGAAATTTCAAACAATTTTATTTTTTTTATCCCCAACTTCTAGCAAAACAAAAACTAGGAAGGTTTATTCGAGCATGACAGTACCTTTCTCTGAGACGGCGTGGCTATCGGCAGTGGGCAACACCAATAGAGTTAGGGCCTCGGCCGCTCGCAGCCCTTCCTTCGTGGAGAGCACGTGTGTACCGCACAGCAGGTCGTCGGCCGCGGCCCAGCACTGCGCTTCGCACGCCAGCCCTCGGATCAAACAGGTGCGAGTCATACTGCCCCATGAGGTGAGGGCCACTTCGCGGACCGACCTGTAATATTGAAGTGAAACTTCTAATGTGACTTCCAACAAGGTTGTTTTTTTTTCTTTTTTCCTGCCTAAGCTGAGAGCCTTGAGAGGCTATTTCAGCGTAACCTTAACTAGTAGGTGAGCTCACGGGGCTCAAACCTGACGACGTTACTAACACAAACCCTAGCAAGAGCCATGACGCAGAATTCGCAGAATCTACCACCGGATCAGAAACGCGACCCACTGAGAAGATCCGACGAGAAACTCAGTGGGCTCTGTCTGAGGGCTAATTTACTCGTCGAGTGATGAATGATAATTTACATAATATAGAGGACACGTTTCTAGGCGATATCATTTAATAACATACTTTAGGCATAGTGATAATAAGGTCCATTTTACTTTGTTATTAGTCGAGTTGACGACGCCTTTACAAAGGATATTTGGATACCTACGTATTGGAATCCTTTTTATCAATTACCGGTTGGATCTACGAATATAAGAATTGGATGGTTTTTTTTATCCGCGAATAGTGAAAACGCTAATAAAGGAAGCGCGAATAGGGGTTTTTTACTGTATCACATTTCCACGTCACCGCGACATCTGCAGCGACGTAGTGTAGTCGAGGCCGAAAACTCATTCGAGAGTTTTATGATTCAAAACTGATACGCGTGAACCTAACTCGCTTGACGTTAATTAGCTTGATTTATTTATAGATTAATTAAACAATAAATTAACAATATAAAAATTGCTGGCTCCTAAAATTAATTACAATTGAGAAAATTTAGGAAAAAAAAATCGTTAAATCTAGAATCGGAATTTATATTTTATAGTAATAAAAACTAAAATGCACCACGATTAAGTTATTATAGCTCCCGAATAGAATTGTTACTAATTTCAAAAAATTTGGAAGTGTGGTCAGTTTAAAAAAATGACACATTTAACAATACATTCGACATAATCTGTGGAATCTTGAAAAAATACAGATAAAAAATGCAGATAAAACTCACACATCATCGTCGTGCAAGAGAGCTACGACAGCCGGCAGGACTTGTCGTTCTATACATTTCTCGTTTATTTCTGTTGTGTTCAACAACTCTGTGATAATGTTGGAGATGTAGACGCGGACTGAACTGCCGCTTGCGCTCTCGCAACTGCTGGCGGCAACTAATCAAAAATATTAGTAAACTATTTAATGAAAATAAAATAATTCAATACAGCATCTGCATATCGACGGTTGAAAGGCAAGCTTGACTAAGAGACAATGCGCAAACTTTACAATTTTTATAATATTTTTTTTGGTCAGGAGGAAATCGCCGGACTTCCGCCCTTTTCTGGGGATACTGGGCGGGGTATGTCAGAGTCGAACTGACTAAAACCTCCTGTCGCTCAACAACCAACGTCCAAAACTCGCATGAGACAGAACTCATAACAAGGCAAAGGGGGGAAAGTGAAGCGTTTAGTGCGGAGCACATCTCTCCCATCACCCTCCCCCTTGGGACGCCGGACTGGCGGTCATCGGCGCCACGACCACCAGCCCTCTCGGCGAACTTTACAATAGATTAATTTAAAGTTGGTATACCTGAAAAAAACTCTATTTTAACGAATCTCGCTATAGGATTGAAATGATTTTAATAGACCTAGAAATATATATTTTTTACGGATCGAATGTGGTTATTGCCTATCATTTATGTACAAAGCAGTTATTGTCGCTTAGTCACGTTTGCCTTTCAAGCGTCGATATATATACAAAAATGGCACATCTGTTTAGTATCTTACACTGTTTAATTTAATTTAGATTTAATTTATTTAAGTTAGATTTAATTTGTCAGCAATTCAAGAAAAACCTAAAATATTTACTGATACGTTTAGTTTCTCGAAAAATTAATAAGAACAAAATTATCGAAGACGAAAGCAAGTAGATTTAAAAAACTAAATTATTTATGGTTGTTATGTGCGCGAAAATTATATGAATGCTTAAGTATCATGATTTATTAAATAACTCACATTCTCTGAGGTGTTGTAAATAAAAATCAAGTGTGTCAGGTCGATGTTCACAAACCCACTTCATTGGAATGGATAATACCTTAGGCGGAAAACTGCGAAGACTACAGTACATTACCCATCTGAAAAATGAATGAAATCGTTTAAAGCAGTGTTTTATTTTTAATTCCGTATTTTTTATCTATTGCAAACGACCTAAGTACAATAGGCATAGCTTTCAGAGCCTTGAGATTATTTTATATTTTAAGCACTGACACACGCCGGAACACATTACGTAACTACTAAATTGAATTATGAATACGTACTTCTGTAAAAATTCTCCGTGTTGTGAATAATTCCCAATCGCTGGCAACACTGTGACTGAATAAATACCGACCACCACAGAGCTTTCGACATTTACAGTGTGAAGTTTCTCCATTTTCTGCTCGAGATCCATTATAATATCGACGAATATCGGGTTCAGGATGTGGGTAGTAAAGCTCACACCAAAATTCTCCACATAACTCGAAAATAATGAAATGAATTTTTCATACATCGTTTGATGACTCAAAACTTTTGAAGTTGTCGCTAAGTCTAGGACTTGTTTTACGCTGTAAGGATGGAAAAATTAAAATATTTATTCGTATTTATTTATAAAAAGTACCACGAAGAAGACTACTAAAGCCGCAACAAACTTCGAAATTGGTTAATTTACAAAATATATTAAATATCTGAGATAAGAAGTCAAGTAAAATAAGAATTATTTTTGTTTTTTATTTATGTTTTTTAATTATTATATTATTATTCTCATAATCCTCTCGCAGGGCTGCCGGAAGAGATTTCTTAAAGAAATAAGCAGTGCCTTTGTACATAATTTTCCTATTACTCTGTACTATGTCTTATTTTTTGTGTGTACATAAATAAATAAATAAAAATAAGAATTCTTCTATCAAAAACATTTCAGGAAAAAAATATTTTAACATTTGAAGGTAGTTAGTATTTAACATTTTAATCGTAGGTGACCACGAAAACTAAAGCATTCGAAGCGTGAAAATAATATAGTGACAACAAAAAGGCGAGATCAAAACCCAAAAGTAGTCTTAATTAAAGGTCAACGGCTCGCGAAGGCCAACCGTTTTTTTTTGCTTTGCAGAAATTGAATTTGAAATCGCTTTTTAAAATCTAAAAGTTCGATTTTGATTGTGAGACACTAACTTTCATCATAAAATTTTATATACAGAAGGGAACTTGTTAGCGATAAATTATCTTAGAGAGATTAGTTAAACAGAAGTTAACTGAAGTCAAATAATGCACAGCTGCACAATCTATAATATAGTTTAACAAAAAGATCAGCTCAGGAAATTCAGGTTTTCATAGGTTTTCAGGAACGGGAGCAATTACAATGCCCTACTAAGGGTACCTTTCATCCAGAATTTACTGGTGGTGCGACCTCTTATAAGTCCGCACGGGTAGATACCACCTCCCTGCCTATTTCTGCCGTAATGCGTTTCGGTTTGAAGGGTGGGGCAGCCGTTGTAACTATACTGAGACCTTAGAAATTACATCTCAAGGTGGGTGGCGCATTTACGTTGTAGATGTCTATGGGCTCTAGTAACCACTTAACACCAGGTGGGTTGTGAGCTCGTCCACCCATCTAAGCAATAAATAAAAGCAGAAAAAATACTATTGGTATGGGATATTTTTCTTCTACATTAATGCGAGCAAAGCCGCGTATAAATTAGCGGCCCATGGCCGGATTTCCCCTCGTGTTGTGCTGCCGGGCACAGTACCAAGACCACACCCAGACCCGACACAGCCAGGCTTCTCTTACAAAGATAGCCCCTTGCTTCCGATCGGGAATCAAACCGGTAATTATAATTCATACCGGCTATTTCTGACAGACCGTGTGGTACAAAATTGACTCTTTTTTTTTTTTAATATGTTGCATAATATACATATTTCGTATATATATTTTTTTATGCTTAGTTGGGTAGACGAGCTCACAGCCCACCTGGTGTTAAGTGGTTACTGGAGCCCATAGACATCCACAACGCAAATGCGCCACCCACCTTGAGATATAAGAGGTCTCAAGTTTAGTTACAACGGCTGCCCCACCCTTCAAACCGAAACGCATTACTGCTTCACGGCAGAAATAGGCAGGGTGGTGGTACCTATCCGCGCGGACTCACAAGAGGTCCTACCACCAGTAAAAAATCATGTAATGTATCATGTAAGATCTCCCGAAACCATCGCGATTACAACTAAAATATTGAACACTCACAAATCAATAAACCAGTTCAGTTCCGGCCATCTAACGTCCGGTTTCTCTTTGACCAGACGGTTCGCAGCAGCAAGCAGCGTCTTAGCGTCAACATCGCTTACGAAGCATTGTAAATCCACGAAATGCTCCTGTTCCTCTAAAGGTACCTCTTGTAAAATTATATTCTCCATATCACAGTCAGACGAGGCGGCATCTTTGATTATTTGAACGTTTATAACGTATGCCAGTTTCGCTAATACTAAAGATTTCATAAGATCTAAATACAGGGCAGCGTTTTTCCATTCATTATCCGAGCTCTCTTTCGCAGCGTTTCTCATAATACGTGTACACAGATCGGTACAGAATTTTCCTGAAAACGGTTTGGTTGGGTAAACAATCTTTTTTTTTTTTCATAAAAAACTGGGACGAGATAAACGAATGACATTTATTTATTTAACACAATATAAATATTACATATTTCATAAACCATCACAAGCGGGAGGACAGTTAAGGTCACTATTCTTTGTTTTCACTTATCATCTTTCGTGCAAATAATAGACGAGACAGATAATATAATGTTTATTAGGGCAAAGCGTGCCAAGGAGGCCAGAAAAGTAAATATCAATTTCATTACTTGAAAAAAAAAAAGGATACGTTAGAAGAGGAAATAAAATCTGTTTTGTTCGAAAACGTCTTGATGAACTGTGATAGATGTATAAGCATATCGATGGGTGAAAGGCTGTTTGGTTTATGTGACATTTCCTTTAGTACGGGACAATTATCTTTATAATTAAAGGTCGGTTTTATTTAGTACTAGCGGCCCGCCCCGGCTTCGCTTGGGAAGTAGCGCACGCGATGTAAAGAATTTTACGTAATTTTTTTACACATTGGGTTAACATTATTGGAGTTTCAGGAAGGATCCCTATTTTTTTTTAAATATCATAAATATAGCCTATGTCACCCGGGGATAGCGTAGTTTACCAACAGTGAAAGATTTTTTTAAATCGGTTCAGTAGTTTCGGAGCCTATTCAATACAAACAAACAAATTTTTCCTCTTTATAATCTAAATATTAGTATAGATTAGTATCAACAATTCTATGTTTTACTTCAATTAAGTTTACCACGTTTAAATATCTCTGAAGAAGTTTTTTTGTTATGATAGTTTTTTCATATTTTAAACGTTAAATGGCTCTCCTGTAGAGTTGCAAAAATTTCGCTTAAACCAAATTTTCACAGGTCTTCACACGTCTATAAACAGTTTTATAGCGACCTTTTTTTATATTTTTTAGTGCTTAGATGGGTGAACAAGCTCGCGGCCCACTTGATGCTAAGTGGTTACTAGAGCCCATAGAAATCCACAACATAAATGCCGCCACCCACTCTGAGACTTGAGTTCTAAGATCTCAGTATAGTTACAACGGCTGATGCAACCTTCAAACCGAAACGCATTACTGCTTCACGGCAGAAATAAACAGGGCGGTGGTACCTACCCGTGCGGACTCACAATCAAATCAAATCAAAATCATTTTTTTTTTATTCAACATAAATGAAAGTACATACTTGTTGAACGACAAAAAGAACTACCGCCAATTTACAAAAACTAGCCTCCGTCCTGAGAAGAACTGGCAAGAAACTCAGCGAGCATGTCTTTTTTTAATTTTATTATTAGATATATTTTTTAAATATTCATTTACCTCCTGTATAGGTACCACCAGTAAAAACATACTCGAACATACCTGCCATCAGAGCGCTTCTCGCCAGTATCGGACCAAAAATGCTGACCGTATCTTTGACGTGCTTCTCGATCGGATCCTTCAGGAAACCGAACATTATATTCTCGAGCTGCGCGTACTTATGTTCCGCAACCGGACATATTAGGCACGCGGATTTTAGGGCCAAACTCCTGATTTCGATCTCGTTCGATTCGCACATCAGCACCACCAGACTGAGCAGTAGGGACGTGCACAGCTCGATCGGAACATACGGAGCTATGGCGACGCAGATCTGGCTGGCGAGGATCCGTCGCTCGGCCGACCTCGATGCCAGTAACTCAGCTACGGAGGACAACACCTCCCCGCTGCCTCCCCATTTCACTATGTAACATGCCGCTGAAACAACAATAGTACATTGTGCACAAAAAAAAACAATTTGACTTTTTTTTTTTTTTTTAAATAAACTACTACTAATTTAATAAGAACTATCTGATGAACTCATCTTTGTTTAATACTTCACTATTAAATTCTATTGCCTTTTGTTTATTTTACTTTTACACTAAACATAATATTGCAAATTACCCGAGCACAACACTGGCGGAGAATTTTAGATGCGTGAGAGCAGACGTAGACACTAACGCGCAAGCACAGTTGTCAGTACCCAGGTAGAAAAAGTTATACTTTCTTCCCTGTACAGCGGGACGAAAACCGAGCTTTCGGTGTAGGTAGGAGCAAAAATTACTAGAATGACTTTTTGGCGGGAACGGGAACGCGAGGAGTGAAGTTGTGTGATTTGTTTTATTTTGTCTATTTAGTGTTTCTTCAGGTTTAAATGTGTAATAACGGTGGTTTGTTAATTATTTAATATCTGTGAAAGTGCACAAATGTGGAAAAATGAAACAAAGCCGCTGCGCTGGACGTAACTTCACGGGATCCTCCAAAAAGTTCACTGTAAAAAATCTCAATAAATAACCACCATTTACTGAGATATTCTATATTTCAACCCATATCTCATCTCATTTCATTTTATTTCATCCCAGTTAATTAATGTTAATTCAAATTAATAATCTTTATTTCATTTCACTCCATATTATCATTTTTCATAAAAATAAGAATATAAATTAAAATAAGACATGACTTAAATGTCTTAGTTACTATGTCACAAAATCCCTTAAAAAAATCGCTCTTAAGCTTCGCCACACTACACGATACAGCAAAAATAAAACATCGTATTATTAATGTTAGATGTTAAGTACCTTCACATATGGATCTGGTGTCGGACGGCTCCGGCTTCTTCACGAGTGTAAGTAATGAGTGTAAGGTGCGAGCGCGTCTTGGATCTCCGGTCGGGAGCAGAGCCACGCTCGCTGCTAGTAATGCCGCAGCTTCGAAACGTCGTGCCACGAGAGTATGAGGGATTATCTATATAAATAATTCACGTTATCTTTTGCCGTGGAGCAGTAATGCGTTTCGGTTTGAAGGGTGGGGCAGCCGTTGTAATTATACTTGAGACCTTAGAACTTGTCTGTAGATGTCTATGGGCTCCAGTAACCAATTAACACCAGGTGAACTGTGAGCTCGTCCAACCATCTAAGCAATAAAAAAAATACCGTAAAGAATTCCACCTACTTCTCCCAGAGTGAGTGACGACATTCACTACCTCATATCTATGAACGCCAGTATACATATTTAGTGCAATACAAATCAAAAACAAACCACAGATGTATATACTGTCTCGCGGTATATCACTAATCATCTTAATCAGAATCTGATCGGTTTGCACCCGTGGTATACGATTCAGAAAAATATTTTAAAAAAAGGATGCAAAGAGACTCGTTCCTGAAGCCGGAATTAGTCGCATTACTCCTTAAAAGTGCGAGTGTCTATCTAAATATCAATCTATTGTAAATGATCACAGTAATGATACCTACTTTAGCTATTCAGATTGACATAACATTCGAAATTTTAATTATGAAGTAATTTTTGATAGTATATTCTTCATTATTGAATAATGTGCATAAGGTTTGGTTTATTTTGATAAGTACCATATTTCTTAAGTACAGTCCGACCCAAATCCTATATTCGCGGCTAAAGATTTGTTTATTCGCGGATCCAATCGGTACATACACATTGATAAAAAAGATTCCATTAAGTTGGTATCCAGCCCAATATATCCTTTGTAAACGCGCTTTTCCATATTCACGTTTCCTGTATTCGCGGCATATTTATAGAACATATACCCGCCAATAAAGAGCTTTTACTGTATATATGTTGTCAATACTGTATGAGCGAGGACAATACATGTAAGATGTGTACGTCAATATACCTAGTCAGGTCATAAGTATTGTCACACTGTAAAAACTTTTCTTTTAGAATGCTGGCCACAAAAAAGTTTATTGAATTCGAATTTCGAATTGTTCATGAAAATAAAAATGTATACTTTTAGAATTTTACTCATTTTTAAATATGGAGTGGACGTTTAAAGAAGACCGTGTTGCAGTTATTGCGTTGCATCGTTGCGGTTACGCGCCAATTCAAATTTTTAACATACTGAAAATTTTTATTATAACCAAAAGATTCGTATATCGTACCATCAAACGTTACAGTGAAGACTCTAGTGTAGATGACAGGTCAAGAAGTGGTCGCCCTCGGTCTGTTAGGACTCCAGCAGTGATAAAAGCTGTGAAGGCGCGAATTCAAAGAAATCCCAAACGTAAGCAGAAACTGTTGGCCCTTCAGATGGGGTTAAGCAGAACCACGGTGAAAAGGGTGTTAAATGAAGACTTAGGGCTTCGGGCATATCGAAGAAAAACAGGACATCGTTTGAATGCTCGTCTAATGGACCTGAGACTGAAGAGATGCCGCGCTTTGTTGAAGCGGTACGCGGGAAAAAAATATCGGGAAATTCTTTTTTCGGATGA